ACCTCTCTGATTGGTCGAAATTGGAGTCGTGATTTTAGCCATTCCCGTAAAGAAAAGAAGAATGTCAGTAATGGTCAATAGTTCATGAGGTAAATTCTCGCAAGATTGCGGGTACCGGGAAAATAGTTAAATTTTTGCTGCGATCCCCATTGGTTTACGTGTTAAAATTGTCTTTGTGCGAGCGCGGATACCATACAGTGCTTTTTGTCTGCGATTCCCAAATGATTGTAACATTCAGTCATTTTTCTAGCGAAGATTAACATACAGTGTCTCCGATTTGTTGTGATGTTTTAATCAATCTTTACACAAGAACAGGATAAAGTAAGAATTTATGGTAGATTTTTGTGTCAATTCGGTATATAAAAGACATATCGACTGCTTTAATGTTCGACTCTTGGATGCTGGCTCTCGGGGACGTGCACATCCCCTTGAGCCTATAAAACAGCCAGTCCTCTCATGGCAGTTGATATCTCTATAATGTATACAATTATCTCAATACTCACAGTAATACATTTTCGATAACCAATTGCCGATTATCAATATTTGGAACGGACGTTCATCAACATTTATCTCATGGAATGTATTATTGCATTTTTACACCGTTACTGCGTGACTCACTCTTTCTGTGACAAATTTTTGGTTTGTGTGTGTGCGGTAAGAATACAGAGTATGCTATTCATTAATGTATTAGGTCAAGTGTGGTGTGTTCTTTGACATGGTTGAAAGGGTCAATGAACATCTTATTCTTGACCTACATTCTGAATGAATAGTATATACCCGGTAAGCATATTTTTTCCCACTGTACACTACACTACTTCGCGGAAAAAGAATACCCCATTAGCACACAGTCATCACAATTCAGAGGTAAGAAAGTTGCAGAAAAACATTACTTTCAATGAATGTTCGTTTTTGTAGTACATGTACGTTTGATCATGTTTCGGACGTATGTCTATATTCCTCTTTAGAAAATGCCTGAAGAAAGCCCTCAACGAAATTGAAATTTCGTCTGTATACCAAAGCTAAGAGTAACGGTATGTCCAATTTTTCTAGTTTTTCAGTTTAATTTATTTACTTAACTACAGTTAGATATGAAGGTTGACTGTCATCACGATTGTATACCATAGGTTGTTTATTGAAAATCATGTCAAAGAACCATTGGCATGGGGGGGGGGGTAATGTTCTCGCTCTGAGGATAACAATTGAAATGTCCATTAATTGGGGGTGTATGGGAGGAAGCCTTATCATCTTCACCCCCTCCCCCCTTCCTTTTTATTTTTCCTTTTCTCATTTTTACTAATTTCCTACTGTTTACGTGTTTGAAAATTAATTCTCACTTGCATAGCTTGTGGCAAATAATTATCTTTGCTTCACGTCATACCTACACTGGATAGTCATTGCATTAGTACAAATAATGAGGACTGCATAGTTTATGCTACAAAATTGTATTTTCGAGATAAGCTTTTAACCTTTTAGTGCAAACATTCCTAATTTTGTCTTCATTTGTTGATTAATGCCCCGTCAATATATTTTTTTAATTTATTAGTGTATTTAAGAACTGTGATTTTTGTTGAAATTCCTGTCAGGCCAAAATATAGACAGAGAGAGGGGGGACTGGGAAGTAGATTAGAGAGAAAAGGAAAGGGAAGGGGCTTTTAAGTCAAATAACCCTCCTAAGAAAAAATAGAGATTGCCCCCCCCCCCCCCACCCCCCAGCTGGTGCACTTTTCAGGACCAGACTACACCTCTGGTTAAAGCGTAAACTATCTTTCATCTCTTCCAGGTGACAGAGAGGTTGGTACTTCCTACATCCAGTGGAAAAGGTGAGGAGTATTACTTTAAATTACACTTAACTCATATCACATCTCAAATCTAATAATATTATAAGACTATTACCAAAAGGTATCATTTACAAAGATATTTTTATATTCCTGTTCTTTCTCTTTTAAAGTCGCGTTTTCTAAGAGCAATCAGACGCTAATTTCAATATTTGTTTTGACAATTGCATAAAGTATCTCCTGTAAATAGAGCGCACCTAGACGGCACGTTTCCGCTCCAAGCACTGATCCAAATTCGAGACGAGATCGTATTATCAGCTCAGGTGACTTCGCAAAATTTTCAAAAAGGTGAATCTGTTTTTCTTTATTCAATATGAGTAATATAATATCGTTTTTGCTGAATGCGTTTCCTTGTCATAGAGTTGTAAAAAGGTGTGGACTCAGGGAAGACAAAGGATAAAGTTATTGAGAAAGGAAAAACAAAATGTACTGATAGAGAACAATAGAGGGAACGGTGGTATAAAGAAAAGAGGAAAACTTGTAGAAAAGAAGAAGAGGAGAAATTGGGGGGATAAAATAATATTGATAATAGTAAGAAAATAAAATTCACCACCATGTGACGGGCCTTATTTATTATGTAATGACATAAGTTATATACAATAAAATATATCGATTTTGATATAAATATTGTATCGCCATTGTTATTACGATGTTTTGAATTGAAAAACGAAAATATGAAAAATATGATCAAGAGAAATGGAATGTATTGTAAATATGAAATGTAGAAGGGAGCCTCCTTTAACATATTCATGGTTATATGTGAATGTACAGGTAAAAGATTTTGAATTAAATGCTTTCTTTTTTAAAACCCAGATTAGTTTCGAAAACATTTATGACTTTACGAATATCTGTTAGTTGTGTGCGAAAGAAACTATATTTAGTTTGTTGTTTCGTATTTTTAATTTAATTTTTTGGAAGTTCTGGAAATTACAATATCATAAATATAATTATTTTCATCATCATCATCATGATCATAATTATCTCCAAGCACTCCACAATATCCGGCGCTCGATGAAAAAAGTTGATTAAATCTACAACCAAAATTAATATATCATATTTTATTACATCAATATCACACATATTTTGTCCCACAATATAAGAATGATACTCCACAACATGATGCTTGTATATACATAGCAACCATTGATTACAACTGTTCACACTTTTAGAAATAACATATTTTACACTCCCATGTGTGCTATTAGATGACTAACGATATTTTCAAAAATAATTTGTTTGAGAGTGTAACAGTGCCGTAAGGAAATAGAGCCATTGAGTTCTATAGATAACTCCTATATAATATTCATGTTAGTTAAATCTATTTAAAAAATGACACTATATTACTGCATGATAAATATGTCTTCTATAAATAAATAGGGGCAGGGGAGGGTTATTGGCTGTTTGAAAATCATAAATATTTACCTACAAAAATTGGGGAATCCATTCGGCAGCTTGGAGAGGACTACAATGTGTTTAAATCGCATGTGTATTCTCGACAGTGTATTTATTCTACATACACATACATGGTACGTCAAATAATTTGATCATTTTCACTATGAATTATTTACAATATTTCCAGATATCTACAAAATGTACATAATATATTATTTCGATTACTCTCTCGGCGTTTGGCAAATATTAATACAATGACCTGATGATATAAGATCTTCATAATATGACTGCAATGTTTTTGTTCTAGACAAAGATGATGAGAGCTATATTAAGGACGATAACCCTATTTGATGTAATTTTAGTTCACGCCATTCTCACTCTCAAAAGAAGTACAAAAGAGTTTTCTGCAGTAGGACAGGATGTATATAGGACATGACGCATTTTTTATCAAATCGTTTATCTTTGCCCCTGTCTCAATTTGAATACATCTCTGCTTAACTTCTTCATGCGTTCAATCTTTCCTGAGGATATCACATAGCATAATTATAATCAAAAGCATGAAAGTGAGATCAAAAATGATTTGAATAACAGAAATATAAAATGCATTGTTTTAGGAAGAATAACAATCGGGTCACACAAGTCTCACATACGTATGATATGGATCTTTTCTTAACAAAAAGTAGGTCATGCACGTCAATATGACCCCCTATTACAAATGTACTTGTTTAAAAAAAAATACACACCATCTTCACCAGTTTTTAGCGTAAGTACCCATAATTAAAGGGATTAAACATTAAGAAAACAATTGAGGGGCACTTTTGCATTTCGATAATAGTAAAGGAAACTGAGAAACAATTCTGTACTTGTTTGACCGTAAAATAACGAAATAATATGAGGTAAATATTTGATACATTGTCAGACATGACAGTTGCGATCGGTTGGAGCCAAGACAAAGAATGGACGGCATCCAAACCAATCAACAACTTTCCTACGACAAATTTATATCTCAATAATAATTAGTCGGCCACTAAACATGTTAAGCTGAAATTAGTACGACACTTATTCGACCAGCAAACACAGAAAACTAGATGAAGAGTTCTTACTGCTATGTAGGGGTGAAGAATATTTGATGACGAATCCTTCAAATCGAAATTAAATCAATAATGTTGGTCGTAAAAAGTATAGATTGATTAAACACAAGAAATCAAAACATTAATATATAATAGGCCGTAAGACAACAGTTGCTGGATGAGAGAGAAAGGGCAATCACGTCAACCATGATAATTGAGTGAGCACTGGCAATACTTTGTCGCAAAAAGGTATGACAGACTAATTGTAATGATACTGTAAGACAGTGTGTGTAAGGTGGCAAAAAATCATTACACATGAGGTATTTTGTTCGGGAGTCACCTATTCGCAGTGGATTGGATGACGACGCATTCGTACATCTGTTCCATATCATACTTCATTCCTCTATGCCTAGTATCAATTAAATCACCGGATTGCCGAAATTTGTAACGGAAAGGCTTTCACATTTCCTTCTGATTTAAAATCTCGAGATTGACGAGATTAGCGGGCATGTGGGAATCTCGGCGAACATAATTTACGCTCAACATATTTTTGTTTTGTTCTTCTTTATTTTTTATGGATCATCGGCATCTTTCACTTGAATGCAGATTTAGAAATACAATATTTCATCTCAAGATGAGGGTTACTCCTGTCCTTCAAAAAAGATTGATTTAATGGGTTATCGAGAAAAATATGATCCCCAACTTTCACATTCACTTCGCCTACTGAGTGCCAAAGGGCGTTAACTCACATTTGTTCATGCTAGGTTAATGTCCTTCTGATTGTCAATCAACGACTGGTTTGTCTTATCTCATGCCACTTTCTTTGTTCATCACTCTCCTCCTTTCCTTAATAATTCTTAGTCATTCTTATTCATTCTTATGATCAATTTAAAATATCGTCTTTAGATACTTTTGTTTGTTGCAATTGTCTCTTCTGTCCTTCATTGTGGTTACGCACACGATCAAAATCATCATTTCTAGCTCGGGTAGATCTTGGGCAGTTTGCTGGCATTTCTGCGGCAGTGATGGAGATTTTACTATCTTTGTGTAAGATACTGACAAACGTGTATGTATCCTTGCTTCAAAGGGTTGATCCTTCAACAAACCCCAATATCGATGTGTGATTCATTCCACTAACAATTCGCTTGTTCCTTAAGTCACATCTTCCTTCAGCCGTCAACACACAATAGTTATTGAATATAATATACTTCTATTATCATAATTATATTCTCCGAGATTTAGGTGGTCTCTGATGTATGTATGTTAATGTGTCAACGAATCCCCATCAGAATCACTTGTGTAGTCCGATCTACTGCAATCCCCGCTGGCATTCATGAGCTTCGTGTCCATATCGTCTCCATCCAAAGGTACCGTCGAATGGTTGTAAAGACCCTGTGCCATCAGTTGTCTGGCCAAACCATTCTTGAGTCCAGTGGCCTTCTTGATTTTGGCTCGCTTGTTCTGGAACCAGATTTTGATCTGGGATTCGCTCAGTGTGAGTTCTTTGGCCAGGGCCCTTCGACGTTGTTCGGTCAGGTAGTTGCTCTGTTGAAACTCTTGCTTCAGTCTCTGGAGTTGGGACGCGCTGAAGGCAGTGCGAGGGCGCTTCTCATCGGCTTTCTTTTCCCGCCGTTTCACCTTGCGTGTCCGAGGTCCTGTGGTAACAACAACAAAAAGCAAAGGGTTTGGTTAGCACAAAAACAAATCAATATATCACTAGATGAATGATTGCATTACATTTCATTGAAATACATCTGAACTACTCTAAAAATCACTTTTTGGGGCAACAATAATGACTTATTTCTTCTTTTTAAAGTTATATTCTGCATTTTCAATAATTTTCAAGCGTAAAATAGGTAGAGAACAAGAATGTAAGGTTTATCGGAAGAGACAAATTTTGAGATATTTCATTCCGTTCAATTCCAAGTTTATGAATATAAGCAATATCTAGATATTAGAGTTTCCAAATGATATACAATACAAGCTTATTAAAGCCCCCAGTCGACAAAAACCCGGCACATTACAACATTCCATCGCAAAAGAGTCAAAGTTACTGCCCGGGAACTTTGGCATGCGGTTGCTCTCTCCTTTTTAATGGAACTAGTCATAGGAACAATAAAACTGTTGACGGATGATGTTAATGACACTTTAATTGACGATAAAACGATGTAGTACTTCTTGTCACTTAGTGCATGAACTCTGCTCTCTATGTAGACAAGCCAGACACAGAAGGCAAATTTCATGTCTGTGGCGCCCTCAAATGATTTCAGATAGTCATTGATAAATAAAATGAATAATATTAAAACAATCAAAACTCATTCACTTTCCGGACACCTATGAAAATCAAACAGAAATCGGGCATATCATTTGTTTCTACTTCTTGGAGATACCTAAAAACTGAACTTAAAAGTATGAGCCTAAACAGGTTTATAGCAGCGCCACAAATCCAAACTCCAAAAATGAGCAACTTTGCAGTCTGGACGAGAAGGGGGCAGGGTTGAACTTCAAGAGGGGCAAATATTTAAAAAAAGAAAAAACGTTAAGAAAAGAACTGGTGTGGATAATAATTACGACCATTGTTTATAATTAGTAAGACAAATCATGGAGTCACATTTTATCTGTGTTATCCTGAACGACAGTGTGAAATTGTTCTTTGCTTTTCACAAAATCAGCCAAGCATTCAACTTCTCTTTTATTATTTTGACAGGATATCATGCAACCTGACGCTCTTGAATATTGCATTTCGATGTTCTAAATGTTATAAAAGCACCAAACACGATCGATGTTTCGCTAAACCTTAATAAATACAATTTTAGAGGTCAATATTGGGAGACATGTTGTGCATAATGACATTCACCTTGGAAGAGTACCTGGAAACAGGTGAAAAGGGAATTTGATTTAATATATTACGCTTTTATTCTAGATAATTATTGAATGTTTCAACACGAAACATTTGATGTACACAGATGTCTATTTCGGTAGGAAAATGTGCGAATTCATGTCCGCAACTTAACTGTATTTTAAACCATTCTTTAAACTCTCTTCAATAAAGTTGTATCATTTTCATCTGCTTTTTTGATGAAGCTAATCAGAAATGTGTCGTCTTATTTTCTGGGATACCAGTAACACCTTAAAAATGAATCTTTGTTGAATGATGATAAAATTGAGTTTAAAAATAGCAGACGTTTTAAATAGGTCCTCGGAGTAAGTACTTGTACTTTTATTTCGCCAAACGTACTTTCCATTCTTAAAGGTATGGAAATGGTTAATATTACGACAAGGAAAACGGTTAACATAATAAGTTAAGAGTTAATTAGTTACATTTTATCTGTTTGAACAAAATCATTAGCGGTCCTTACAAGATCATGAAGGCACATAATACATTTTAAAAAGAAGATAGTCTCAGGCGAATAGATTTTCATGATTGTTTATATTCATAACTGTAAAGAAAATTGTGACGTGCCATACTCATTATTTGAAGCACGAGTATTACACACGAATCTGAGCAATTACTCAAAGACGTCATAATCAGAAGCTTATCGTTTTCAAAGTAATTGTGTAAATCTTGTTTGTCAGTCGTTAACGTGCTATGGAGTGGCGGTATTCTGTCTCCTTCTTGCCTCGATTGTATAAAAGAGAGGCAAAGTGATTTGCGGATTATGATAAATGAAGCTCCGATCTCCTCCCTCGAGACTCGTCGAAGAAGATTTATTCTGGCGTGCAAGATACACCGATGTGTCCCAACAGGCCTTGAGTGCACTCATTATGTTAAACAGCCTTACATTCGCCCTTGTTACTCATTGCGAGCAGTGTTTAAACTTTTCATTATTCATGTGGCGTGTGAGTGGTGGGGATAAACCCCAGCTAGGATGTCTTCCAGCTTCATTGACCAAGTCGCGCATGACGGTGATAATGACGAGGGTGCGAAACGCACGTCCCTTCTTCGAGTGAAGCAACGGTGATTTTCGTTTTCTCTTAGGTCCCATGGCGTCGGAAGCGAGGAGGCGGCACGGGTGAAGACTACCCTTTCCGCTATTCCTTGGTGCGATGCTTCCCAACTCGTAATGGAGCCTGGGGTTAGGTTAATGAGGCGAAGCGGCGCGCGCGCTCTGCGACTTCACACCTCCGCGCGACTACAGATTGGCCACTTTATCGCCGAGATTGCCCCCTCTAGGCTCCTATTACCAGGCGTGTGTTGCAACTCATTATCGTCTTATACCATGCTTTGCTATAGCTGCTCGTAATTGGCGAGGAAGCGCGATGACGGGGGAGTGAGTCTATAATGACCCTAAACGCCAATCGAGACACGTAAATGATATCTTTGTGATTGCGATATTGAGACGTCGTTGCCAATACGAAAATCATTTGAAAGTCATTACAAGGGCTTATCGGTGTGTCTATGCAAGATGCACCTCGGGCTCAACGCAAGCGTCCCGCGGGAGAGGCCAATCTTGATAGATAATAACCCAGATGCGATATCACCCGAACAGAAATGAATTCAATTCGCAGAGATCGGCGAGCATTTTCACACCACAGGCAGTTGAAGCGCAAGATGTCTTTCCCCCATCTCTACCCCCAGCCTTCCAGAAACCAACGCTGACAAACACAACGTTGGTTATACATTGAATGACTCTTCAGAGACCCCATCCGAAAGATCTTCCACATCTGTTGCGATGACATTTTGACGACGTTCATTATCATGCCCAACCTTGCCCGTGCCCGCGAAAAAATCATCGACAATGTGAAAAAAACTGAAAAGTTCATCATCAGCATATGTCGCTTAATGAGAGGAGAATAGTAATGATTATTAACCATTAAGGTAACCATTCATCTGGATAGACAATTCCATTTGAGGGGAAGTCTTCTGGGGGTCGTTAATGGATCATTCTCCTAGAGTACGACAGAGAGGTTAATCACTGATCAACGTCACAAGTCCTATTCCATCTTCTCTCCACAACCAAACCGCGAGAAGCGATACCCCTTCTTGCACAATCACGGCTCTTTTATTTCAAATAAATCATCTTTCTTTTCCAGACGCAGATCTAATAATTCATTCTGATATTTCCTTACCCATAATTTTACCCTCGGGTGTATAATCATTATTTTGACTAGGACTGTGGATTTCAGTGGCACTATAGCGCTACTCTATGAAGAGCATTACGCCATGCAAGCATTCAGATTTACAATTTAATGGTTCGCAGTGTATTGACTTTGAAATCTAACAAAAATAAAGTTGACATGAAATTATATAATATTCTGGTACGAATGACTTAGATGGGTCGAAAGGAATTAAATTTGTGGGACCTTGAACTTGATTTCTTCAGAAAGTCTACTTAATTTAAACAAAATGGGCTTTAATAATCGTGTGTATAACGTATTATCTAAATACCAGCTGTCAACCATTAACCTGTTTTTTTCATGTTGTTAGATCATAATCTAGAGAAATCTATTTTTCAAAGCATTTCTAAACATAATTATTGAAACACAAAATTTGTCCAAATCGTTTAAAAACTTTATTTTGTTTATGAGCCGTTTCCAGGATTCAATAACAATGTCCGACTTTCACATCTTCTGTAGATGTCTGTAACGCGTTTTAGGAAGTTTTATGAGAACATATAGACCAAAGTTAAGATAAAGGTTTACAACAACAAAAGAGCAATTGAAATGTAATTTGCTTGTACATCCACAAAGCCTGTACTAGTTAACATGTTAATCTTATTCCTTATATTTGACAAGTGTTATGAAACAAATTATATAGTAACTATGAAAATTCCTTGAACAGCAATTTGTTCCCCGTAATTATCTATGAATCGAATCGAACTGAAATATCAATCTAATTCATTCAAAATAAAGTATATTGCGACATGTTATTTCCTTACAGAAAGGCCTGAAAAGCACTCGAGATCTAGGTTTATCACAAATCCATTTGTAAGCCGGACGACATCAAAGCATCAAAACCGTCACCGTCACCGTCACTTTACCACGATACCTTCATCCAACGTTTGTTTGTTGTTATTTTTTCTTTGAAATGCCCATTTTATTGAATATAAATCAAGAGTGGGCCATTTAGAATGCGGGAAGAATTGCTTTGTCGTACTTTCTGGATGAGCGACGGAGCGCGACCGGGGCGCGTCGAATTTCATTCGTGCGCGTGCACACACGTGGCGAAGATGCGATGTGTATGGACGGGCGCGCGTTCGGGCACACGCCACTGCAGGCTACACGGCTTAATGTCAGCGCGGACAAAGGGATAATACACGTGCGTTGGGGTTAAATGACAAAGAAACGAGCAAATAATGGACCAGACGTGTTTAAGATAGCATTTTTATCCCTTATACTGCGAAGAAGATCCGATGAGTTAAACTTAAAGGAAAGTTCTTTGCAAACATCTTCTTTTAGCCTTACGCGATTCATTTTAATTTATCATTCAGACTTTTGATGGGCATTATTTCGTTCGATGCATTCTATTTAATCTTTTGAAGATGCACTCTCATTTGGTAGTCGGTAGAAATATGATATTAACTTTGGATAAATTGTCTTTATCCAAAGACGTAGTGTAATATGAAGCTATTAGTATAAGTTTTCGTAGGTCCCACCAAGTCAACAAAGAATACGCTTGCTTGGGTTGACAATCTAATTTCTCTAGGTTCGACCT